AATATGGTACAGGTATCCTAATATAGCACAGGTATCATAATATGGCAGTACACCCAGGCTCTCCAGAGTGATTAAAACAACAGAAAGAATAATCAGGCCTGAACATCCATGTCAGAAGAAGGCCATAACATTGTCTTTTTTAGTATTGCATTTTATTATTGGATATTAAGTATTTTAACTTTTTCTTGCACTGACTGACTCGAGCGCTTTGCACAAATGCAGCAGTTCATATATGCTCAGACTAGGTGTACATGAACAAATGGCCAATAAAGTTTCTTTATCATGAAAGTGCCAAACAGGTTTGCAGTCTGAACTGGAGTCTGGTTCAATCATTCACTAAAGGAGATGTTGGTAGTTGATATACAATCTTTATATCAGACTTTAAACAACATACATAGTTCCAAGTCTAATGAAGCTGGAAGCAGGAAGTTACACAACGATTAGATGACTGTAAAATACCCCCCCCCCACACACACACACACACACACTTATTCAGAGATTTATAAAACTTGGTTATTCAAGACAAATGTAGTATTTGACATGTCAGACGACTAAGCCTCCTAAAGTCTCCTATAAGATTAAAACCTGCAGTGGAAGTTGTGTAATTTTGTGATATTTGTGAAGTTATGCAACAAGTTCTCGTGCGAGTTTGCAAGTGAACCTGTTGAACTTCGACACACATCCAGCGCACATGTGCGCTCCACTCTGAGAAACACGTTCTAGACTTTGAGCAAGCACTGGTTTCACATTGTATTGTTTTAAATGATGGCCCGCCACAGAGGGGGCGACAATGCTTTTGCCTGTGTTTGTGACTGTTAGCAAAATATCTCATGAACCTGTCTAATGAAACTCTTAGAAGGTAATCAATGGATGCATATCTAATTCTTATCTTTTGGAGTCAGCCTCTTTCAAAATGGCCACCACAATCAGTCTTACAACACAAAAAACGTCTCAGTGATGTACTTACAACCCACAAGTGTTACATATTGTATAAGACATATGCCTAAAACTTTGGCATTAACGGTTAACGTCAAACACGTTTTTCCATCAGCAAAATATATTTTAATAAAGATCAGACGATAATGGTTGTACATCTAGGACTGATTAACAATTAGAGTTAACCCAATTCAAGATGGCCACCACACCTGTTTGAGTCATCACCATCGTTTTTGCCATCACACAAATGGCTAAAAGTTGGATCTGGTACCGCCTGTACTGTATGATGAGCATGAACCAGCACATGGAGTCATTTATTTATTACAGTTTGATGTACAGCACTTTGACAGCATTCATTATGTGCACGAGGAGGGAGCAGAGCCAGACTTAATGATTCTGTTAAAGCCCTGAAGCATCAGGATCTGGAACTTAGGAAGGTTCTGGTTTGAGGAAATTAACCTGCACTGGAGGAAAATTCCATTAATTGAAACCTCATCAGTTTAATCTGGAATGCGCTGGCAGTTTGTTTGCATTAACATGTTGTCAAACAAGGAAATATGTTCTATACCACTTAAACTAGGGGTGTACAAAGTACTGCCCCGTGGGCCACTTGAGGCCCTTGGTGTGATTTTGTGTGGCCCACAACTGCAATTTAAGAATTGTATCATTTTGGCCTGCAGGCATGAGAAGTTGATGCAGATGTACCATTCTGAAAATGTAATGATTTTTGTTTACATTTATAAATACAGTAGTCATTCGTTTATCACGGTGTGTTCCGTACCCACCCCCCCACCCCCCCTGCGCGCACGATAAGTGAAAAACTGCAAAAGTAGGAATAGTAGTACAAGTAGTAAGTACTAGTTATATATATTTTTATATATATAAAGGCATTTTAAACCCTTCCCACACTCTTGCAATGTTATAAACAATGTTGCAGCAGATGCTAAATAATTAAAAATAATTTATTTTAAATTAAAAAATCCATGATGATCGTGCAGCACATCCGTCAATCAGCCAACTGTGTGTCAGTTCCAATCTTATTTTGAAAAACCATGATAGAGCGAGGCCATGAAAGTCAAACCATGAAGTAGCAAGAGACTATACTG